CTGAAACAAAGGCAAATGAAGACATTAGTTTCATGTATCACGTCATCCATCTGGGGATGTCGTCGAGGGCCCCGCAAGTCGCCACGCAGAGCTGACGAAGAGTAGCATACATTTACCTCTTTGGGGAACCCAACGCGCATGGGTATAGTGATGCCAAACCTAGAAACATAAGCAGGGCTAATCTTGGATAGGTTTCATCATCATCATCATCATCATCATCATCGATATCATCATCATCATCATCGATATCATCATCATCATCGTCGTCGATATCATCATCATCATCATCGTCGTCATCATCATCATCATCGTCGTCGTCGTCGTCATCATCATCATCATCATCATCATCATCTTCCTCGATATCATCATCATCATCATCGATATCATCATCATCACCATCATCGTCGTCGATATCATCATCATCATCATAATCGATATCATCATCATCGTCGTCGTCGTCGTCGTCATCATCATCACCATCATCATCGTCGTCGTCGCCATCATCATCATCATCATCATCATCATCATCATCCGGGTGTTGGGTAGCCTAGTGGTTAAACCATTCGCTCGTCACGCCGAAGACCCGGGTTCGATTCCCCACATGGGTACAATATGTGAAGCCCATTTCTGGTGTCCCCCGACGAGATATTGCTGTAATATTGCTAAAAGCGGCGTAAAACCATACTCACTCACCACAAAGTACCCTGAACTGAACACACATATGCCCAATGTGACCATTTCTTATATCAAACTAGGAAACACAATGTAACTTATTGTAGATATCTGTTTTGTTGTTCAGGAATCCAACAAATCGTGTCGAAATGGTACATAGATTTTTCCGTCTCTGATCTGTCCACAAGGTAATGCCGTATACGTGTACATGCATTTGAAAAGCGCATAACTCCACACGCTGGTATGTACGGAAGCCTTTTAGGGCCATTTGTTTTTTTATTTTCTTTCGATACTATCTTGAAATTTCAAGATACTAAGTTGAAATTTCAAGATACTATCTTGAATTTTCAAGAAACTAAGTTGAAATTTCAAGATAGTATCTTGTATTCCAAGATAGTATCTTGAAATTTCAACTTAGTATCTTGAAATTTCAACTTAGTATTTTGAAATTTCAACTTCTGTATCTTGAAATTTCAACTTCTTGAAATAGAAGTATAGTATCTTGAAATTTCAACTTAGTATCTTAAAATTTCAGCTTAGTATTTTGAAATTTCAACTTAGTATCTTGAAATTTCAAGATAATATCCTGAAATTTCAACTTAGTGTCTTGAAATTTCAAGATACTATCGAAAAATAATAATAAAAAAAATGGCCCTAAAAGGCTTCCGTAGGTATGCCCGAAACGCTGTATTTTTATTACCACCGTCAATGGATCAGTGTGGACTCGATTTCCATTCGCAGCTCCCTGAAGAGTATACAGTGCCATTGAGCAAACCGAGGAGTTATTTAGTCAGTATTTATGCCAGCGTACTGCATGCCATTCCAAGCGCCACCGGAATGCTGTCGACACGGCGTGCAAGACAGATGTAAAGTGTTCCTGATAACGACAACGACCTCATCGTTTATGAAATATGTATGTTGTTCACTTTGAAAATGATCCCAGCCGCATGTTTATGAGCATTGATAGCTTGAAATAAGGGAGCATTAAACATTGAGCATGTCTCTTTGTACAGAGATCAAAGCATTGCCTGGTTGTGTCAGACACGGGAACGTAAAACACCGTCACATACCTGCTACAAGAGGGATTGCAAGAAAACCAGCATCGCAGGAGTGTCACATAGTTTCATCCAGTACCACAGATTAACCAGAGCATTGCATTAGAGATGGCCATCGAGAGTAAACACCAAGCGCTGCTTTCTATTTTCGTCCTCTGGGTAATCCTAAGCCGAGGCTTACATTTTGATGTTGTCTCTGGTTGATCTTAAATCGAGACCTGTATTTTGGTGCTATCTCTGGTTAATTCTTCAGCGAGGCTTACATATTGGTGCTATCTCTGGTTAATTCTTCAGCGAGGCTTACATTTTGGTGCTATCTCTGTTTAATTCTTCGGCGAGGCTTACATTTTGGTGCTATCTCTGGTTAATTCTTCAGCGAGGCCTACATATTGGTGCTGTCTCTGGCATCACTGGGTTTTCTACACATACGTCCTACGTTGTACTTATGACACTGATGGTGAGTGCAGAAGAGTGAGGGAGTGAGTTTGGTTAAACCGTATTCCAGTCTCATGACGGCATTCAACAGGACGAAAGCCCGAGGTGATGCAGGTCTCAGACGTTTACCACTTTGGTGAAACCCACGACCTTGGGTGTGGCGCCGACAAACCCAGAAACACTGTAGGGGCGAACCGGAATTAGAACCAGCGATCATAGGTTTCTGACGTGCCCAAGGGACGCAACTCAGACGACTGGGCGACAGAAGAGGAATTCCACCATGACGTATTTTAGTCACGTGTTGTCTAATGTCTTTAAGCCTTTGGATATCGGTAGAGCAGTTGATCGCCTCCGTGGTCTAGTGGTAGAGCGTCGGCCCGGAGAGCGGAAGGTCCGGGGTTCGATCCCCGGCTGCGGCATACCAAAAGACGTTAAAAGATGGTACTTGTTGTTACCCTGTCTCGCGGTCGGCTCGGAGTCATTCATTGGGTATTCATGTTAAACTGCGGCATGGTATCTCAGTGAGCTAGCACTATAAATCGGCATCAGTCCGGACTAGTACAAGCAGCCATGCACACACACCTGCATTCACGTCGCTATATAAGTGCAATAATTTTGGACGCGACGTTAAACCCAATTTACTTTGAACACAAACTTCATTTTGAATTTGTTCACAAATGACAAAGTCGACATTGGATGTGAAGTACGTACTTATTCAGACACCCAAGCAATCCTTACCAGCACTGTGGGTTCACGGCTTCATTCAACTACGTATAAAATTCGATCTTCCCAAGATATTCGAGATGAACTCCATAACAATGTTAGGTTTTGGCCCCGGAGGAATCCCTATCGACACGTTTGGGTCTCCGCTTGATTCAACTACGTATAAAATTCGATCTTCCCAAGATATTCGAGATGAACTCCATAACAATGTTAGGTTTTGGCCCCGGAGGAATCCCTATCGACACATTTGGGTCTCCGCTTAATTCAACTACGTATAAAATTCGATCTTCCCAAGATATTCGAGATGAACTCCATAACAATGTTAGGTTTTGGCCCAGGAGGAATCCCTATCGACACGTTTGGGTCTCCGCTTGATTCAACTTCGGTTAGCTCGACAAGAAATTCAACTCATAAAGGCTTCAGAGTACTTTCGCATGCGTGCCATTGACATGTTTCATCAGAAATGGCATTCAGATATTTATGAAAGTTCAAGATATGATACTTATCGCCAATTCAAGTCATTGCTTGAACCAGAATCCTATTTATCAAATTTACGGTACAGGAATTCTCGTAACACCCTTATTCGTTTTAGACTTGGCCTGAATGATCTAAAAATTAACACAGGGAGATTTTCATCTATTGAGAAATCGATACGATTATGCCCATTTTGTGACATTGTTGTCGAAGATGAATACCATTTCATGTTTATTTGCCCTATATACGAAAATCTAAGAGACAAGTACTTACCGCAGTGGTCTCTATCTCATTTTAATGCTAAAAGATTGTCTTCATTACTGTCTTGCAAGGATATAACACAACATCAACTGGCTTTGTACATACATAATGCTTTTTTGTTACGAAGTGAATTGTTACCTTGACTTTTTTTTATAAAATATGTTATGTAACTCCGTTGTATATGGGCCTGTGGCCTTTCATACAATAAAGAATTGAATTGAATTGAATTCAGTGTCTTAGAAGCTAGAGTTCATTTCACTGAAACTTGCAAGGACGACATTTTTGACAAAATTGATATTGGTTCATAGTCGACACAGAGTTGTGTTTTCACAACCGGGAACGAGAAGTTCGATTTTGATGTTTTAATCATTTACGCAACTATGTTAAATAAAGTTTCAGAAGTAATAAAAACGTAAAACAAGATCAAAACATCTCACGTCGACATGAAAACATGCCAAGTTGACACAGCTGATTATATCGAACTCAAGTTCAAAGGAAATTATTTACAATGTGTTTCTTTCACTCAAACTGACTTAATTGGCAATGATGGGTTTACAAAAGGCTTCGGTTCTTCCTTGGCGTCTTGAGGGAGATAACATGATGACGAGGATAGCGGTATTGATGTATTCTGTCTCATGACCCTCACATCACACCAAATATGTTTCCATCAGAAAACGGTCACGTATTGTGACATCATATTAAAAATATGCAATCCGGAAAATGAGTAGAGACAAGGTTAGGTTACGTATTGCCTCTAATGGACTTGGGGGCGGTCGGGTAGCCTAGTGGTTAAAGCGTTCGCTCGTCACGCCGAAGACCCGGGTTCGATTCCCGACATGGGTACAATGTGTGAAGCCCATTTCTGATGTCCCCCGCCGTGATATTGCTGGAATATTGCTAAACGCGGCGTAAAATCAAACTCACTCACTCACTCACTCTAATGGACTTGTAACGTGTATACCGAAGAGGGCGTTTTAAGTTGTGATAACTGGTGCCCAATCCTATTCATGTGAATAAATTTGTTTGAATTAATTCTGACGGTTTGGGACGTAGCAAACAAACATATATGTTTTATGTAAATTGTGTGAGTGGTGGGTTCTGCCGATAGAGCGGTATATGCTTACACTTTTCATCTGCTGCCATCACTGTGAATGGGTGAGTTTTGGTTTCACTGCCGCTTTCAGCAATATTCCAGCAATATCACGGCGGGGGACACCAGAAATGGGCTTCACACATTGTACCCACGTCGGGATTCGAACCCTGGTGTTCGGCGTGCCAAGCGAAAGCTTTAACCACTAGGCTACCCGACCGCCCCGGTGCCATCATTGATTTTTAGTGATCCATTCATGTAAATTTCAATATTTTTTTGCCTTTTTAGCT